TGAGACAGTAAGATTTACCGGTCATCTTACTTGTTGATGAGACAGTAAGATTTACCGGTCATCTTACTTGTTGATGAGACAGTAAGATTTACCGGTCATCTTACATGTTGATGAGACAGTAAGATTTACCGGTCTACTTACATGTTGATGAGACAGTAAGATTTACCGGTCATCTACATGTTGATGAGACGTAAGATTTACCGGTCATCTTACTTGTTGATGAGACAGTAAGATTTACCGGTCATCTTACTTGTTGATGAGACAGTAAGATTTACCGGTCATCTTACATGTTGATGAGACAGTTAAGATTTACGGTCATCTTACTTGTTGATGAGACAGTAAGATTTACCGGTCATCTTACTTGTTGATGAGACAGTAAGATTTACGGTCATCTTACTTGTTGATGAGACAGTAAGATTTACCGGTCATCTTACTTGTTGATGAGACAGTAAGATTTACCGGTCATCTTACTTGTTGATGAGACAGTAAGATTTACCGGTCATCTTACTTGTTGATGAGACAGTAAGATTTACCTGTATCTTACATGTTGATGAGACAGTAAGATTTACCGGTCATCTTATTGTTGATGAGAACAGTAAGATTTACCTGTCATCTTACATGTTGATGAGACAGTAAGATTTACGGTCATCTTACATGTTGATGAGACAGTAAGATTTACCGGTCATCTTACTTGTTGATGAGACAGTAAGATTTACCGGTCATCTTACATTGTTGATGAGACAGTAAGATTTACCGGTCATCTTACATGTTGATGAGACAGTAAGATTTACCGGTCATCTTACGTGTTGATGAGACAGTAAGATTTACCGGTCATCTTACGTGTTGATGAGACAGTAAGATTTACGGTCATCTTTACTTGTTGATGAGACAGTAAGATTTACCGGTCATCTTACTTGTTGATGAGACAGTAAGATTTACCGGTCATCTTACATGTTGATGAGACAGTAAGATTTACCGGTCATCTTACATGTTGATGAGACAGTAAGATTTACCGGTCATCTTACGTGTTGATGAGACAGTAAGATTTACCGGTCATCTTACGTGTTGATGAGACAGTAAGATTTACCGGTCATCTTACTTGTTGATGAGACAGTAAGATTTACCGGTCATCTTACTTGTTGATGAGACAGTAAGATTTACCGGTCATCTTACATGTTGATGAGACAGTAAGATTTACCTGTCATCTTACATGTTGATGAGACAGTAAGATTTACCTGTCATCTTACATGTTGATGAGACAGTAAGATTTACCTGTCATCTTACATGTTGATGAGACAGTAAGATTTACCTGTCATCTTACATGTTGATGAGACAGTAAGAGTTACCTGTCTGACCTCTTCAACCCTTTCACTGTCCAGTTGCCCTAAATTAATGTTGCTCCTAGTGTCCACATTAATTTTTTTTTTTTGAAATGCTAGAGAATCTTTTTCTGAAAGTTATGATACCAAAAATACGAAATTTGTTGGAAAACTTACCGAACTGTGAAGGTGCAAAGTTAGCGGACTTGGAGCAATTTACGCACTGGCGATTTCCCCAACTTGAGTCCTATTTTAGGCCAATTCCATTGTTTTATTCGACCAAATTCTTAGCAATTTTGCTAGTTTGTCTTCCATTCTATCGACTGAACAAAAGTAACCGCCCAGTGAACTATTTCAACTAATCTATAATATGCACAGAGGTCAGCAATTTGGCAAATTTTACACAAAATTAAAAAAGAAATACTAATTTAAAAACAGAGTGCAAAATAAACAATGCAGACATTCCAGGCCAATGGTGATACTCTTCAAATTGCTAGGCTCCCTCATCTGGAATATTGCTCAGTGTTGACGGCCCCATTCAAAGCAGGAGAAATATCAGAGCTAGAACAAATACAGAGATCATTTATGGCTCGCAATGAGGAGGTAAAGCACCTAAATTACTGGGAATGCCTTAAAGTCCTGAACATGTACTCACTGGAGCGGAGGAGAGAAAGATAAATGATAATACATACCTGGAAAGTACTCGAGGGTCAGGTTCCAAATCTGCACACTGCCATAACAACACACTGGGGTGAGAGGTATGGGAGGAAGTGCAAAATAAACCCAGTGAGAAGTAGGGGTGTGGTGGGGACAATAAGGGAACATTGTATCAACATTCGGGGTGAAAATTAAGACACTTATGCAACATCTGGGTATCTGTACTGTAGAAGAGCACCGTAGTCATGAAGATTCTGCATGACTACGGTGCTCTTCACACCAACTAAAAGGCTGAGGGACTGATTACCTCATCTTCTGTATATAGTTCTGTCTTCAAATTATGTCCTAGAATTTGTTTTGATAAAGCCACTGGATGGCAAAACGTCTACAATAAAAATACCCAGATGTTGCATAAGTGTCTTAATTTTCATCTTGTTTGTCTTGTATACCATTCTTGTACAACATTTGGGGTCCCAGACTATTCAACATCTTACCAGAAGATATCAGAAATGCTCCCGGAACAAGAGTAGAAGTCTTCAGGAAGAAACTGAACAAGAATCTTCACACCAGGTGCCAGATCAACCAAGATGTGATGAATATATGGGGCAGTGGGCCTCCAGGAGCAACAGCCTGGGTGACCAAGCAAGCACCAGATGAGCCTGGCTCACGGCTGGGCTCTGAGAGTAGCGAGACTCTCAAAACTCATCAAAGGTATATAAAATTCTGCCCGAAATGCCTAGGCCTGCTAGTGGCCTTCTTTACAATTAACATGTAAACCAAACATTGTAAGCTTTACAAGGAAATAAAAAAAAATAATTTTAATTTTAATTTTAAAAGGTAAGAGCACGAAGACAACATTTCTTTTATCCATGAATCACATCCCAAGACCTCTCCTATATTACACTTAATTTCTATTCTGAATTTATAATCACACAAAAAATACAAGATTTACTCTATCTCTGGGGTAATAAAATACAGCCAGGAATGATTGGTCATGGTTTACGGCATCCCAGAAATTGGATCAGATTTGTTAAAAAACCTTACACCCCTCTAACTTTTTTTGAAGTTACCCCAGGTACTTTACACGTATGTTGCTATGCATGATAATCTATGTAACTGCATTTATGTGCACCTGTACCTGAGCAAACTTATTCGTCCTCAGGAAAATCAGCAACAATTAAATATTTCCACTACCTTGTGTCCAATTTCAAGCTACTTCTGGTATCATTAAATGATACCAAGAACTAGCTAATAAAACCATAAAATTATTATTTTTTTTATTATTATCACACTGGCCGATTCCCACCAAGGCAGGGTGGACCGAAAAAGAAAAACTTTCACCATCATTCACTCCACTGTCTTGCCAGAAGGGTGCTTTACGCTACAGTTTTTAAACTGCAACATTAACACCCCTCCTTCAGAGGGGTGTTAATGTTGCAGTTTAAAAACTGCCATGGTAGAAAACACCTCGAAGTCACTTTTAAACCAAACACAAGGTCACAGTTTTGCTTTCCCCATCATGCACAGTGTGGGGAGGGATTTTTTTTTTACACAGTGTTTGACTCGTAGGAGGTCCCGAGTTGGTACTCCCATAGTTGCAACCGTCTTGTTTGTATACAGCCTCCCCTCACTTAGTAACGTAATTGTTTACCAATGACTAGAACTTACGATGGGTTCTCTGACCAATATTTATACCTAAATAATGTATATTAGAGCTGATTTCCTCTATTCTGTTTATTACAATATGCAGTACACTACTGTATAAACATTTAAAAATATACCAGAAATGTTATAAATGATGCAAAGGTGACATTAAATCAATATCAAAGATGATTGACACAAACCCACTACCATTATAGTATGCTCCTCACTTAGCGATGAATTTGTTTACAGACGTGGTCTTAGGAGCGGAACTCTGTCATTGGGTGAGGAGAGGCTGTATTATGTCTATTGTAGACAAAAACTCTGGGCCTCCGATGAGTGAAACACACCCTGTACTGTGCACTCTCACCACACAGATCCATTCTCTCAGTTCCAGACCAAAGTTTACCACTCACAGCTTGTCTGAGTGAGCTGAACCCATGATGCAGAAGTGAGGGACACAGTGACTGACACAGTTCTATGTGTCAGTCACTTCCTCAAGGTGGAGGGACTGATAACCTCAAAGTAAGTTTTTTTAAGACTTCGGGACTGACCAGCTCAAAATTATTACAAGGCTGAGGGATTGATCACCTCTAAATTACTACAAAGCTCAGGGACTGACACCTCAGAACTGTTTCTGAAAAATAAATCCCACAATACCGTGACTGTAACAATTCACAACTAACCCACAATACTACGACTGTAACAATTCACAACCAACGTTATCATGACTGTAACAATTCACAATTAACCCACAATACCATGACTGTAACAATTCACAACTAACCAACAATACCATGACTGTAACAATTCACAACTAACCCACAATACCATGACTGTAACAATTCACAACTAACCCACAATACCATGACCGTAACAATTCACAACTAACCCACAATACCATGACTGTAACAATTCACAACTAACCCACAATATCATGACTGTAACAATTCACAACTAACCAACAATACCATGACTGTAACAATTCACAACTAACCCACAATATCATGACTGTAACAATTCACAACTAACCCACAATACCATGACCGTAACAATTCACAACTAACCCATAATACCATGACTGTAACAATTCACAACTAACCCACAATATCATGACTGTAACAATTCACAACTAACCAACAATACCATGACTGTAACAATTCACAACTAACCCACAATATCATGACTGTAACAATTCACAACTAACCCACAATACCATGACTTCAACAACTTATGAACAAAACCATTTATAAAATAATTCTGAAATATGCTCTAACTTCCACTGGCCTTTTAATTAACAATATCCTCTCAAAGGTCTATTAAAATAGGAAATACTCCATAAAAGACACAAGAAGGGGAAAAAAAGTCTTAAGATGTACTCACCAGGTGGCGAAGGCTTTTTAAATGGTAGGGGTTGATTGCCAGAGCATTTTGATAGCACGTTTGGGCCTCGTGGAACTCATGCTTCTTCTCGTGAAGCAGCCCTTTCTGTAACATTATTAACATTGATGAGGCAACACATTCTGCAACATTATTAACATGAAGCAAAACCTGTAACATTGTTACTAGCAAGGGGCTAGTAACACCTTCTCCTGTATAAATTACAAAATGCCAGGAGCAAGGGGCTAGTAACACCTTGATCACTAGCGCACTCAGCTCACAAGCTGAGGTCCGGAGATCAAATCCCCGGTATGGCTGGAAAACATTAGGATGCGTTTCCTTAAGACACCTGCTGTCTATGTTCACCCATTAGTATAAAATGGGTACCTGGGTGTTAGTGGACTGGTGTGGGTCACATCCTGGGTGTTAGTGAACTGGTGTGGGTCGCATCCTGGGTGTTAGTGAACTGGTGTGGGTCACATCCTGGGTGTTAGTGAACTGGTGTGGGTCACATCCTGGGTGTTAGTGAACTGGTGTGGGTCACATCCTGGGTGTTAGTGAACTGGTGTGGGTCACATCCTGGGTGTTAGTGAACTGGTGTGGGTCGCATCCTGGGACAAAACTAACCTAATTTGCAGGAAATGTTCTGTATAACAAGCGGCTTTCTATATAGCAGTATGTCATTAATGTCAGCTATGGTCTGCATACCTTATAGAAATAGATATTATTGTTAGTATTATTTTACTTTTTTTTTTTTATTAACACATCGGCTTATTCCCACCAAGGCAGGGTGGCCCAAAAAAGAAAAACTTTCATCATTCACTCCATCACTGTCTTGCCAGAGGGATGCTTTACACTACAGTTATAAAACAGTTAAAAACCATTTGTCTCCATTCATTCCTATCAAACACGCTCATGCACGCTTGCTGGAAGTCCAAGCCCCTCGCACACAAAACCTCATTTACCCCCTCCCTCCAAGCTTTCCTAGGCCGACCCCTACCCCACCTTCCCTCCACTACAGATTTATACACTCTCAAAGTTATTGTATTTCGTTCCATTCTCTCTACATGTCTGAACCACCTCAACAACCCTTCCTCAGCCCTCTGGATAATAGTTTTGGTAATCCCACACCTTCTCCTAATTTCCAAACTATGAATTCTCTGCATTATATTCACACCACACATTGCCCTCAGACATGATATCTCCACTGCCTCCAGCCTTCTCATCATTGTAACATTCATCACCCATGCTTCACACCCGTACAAGAGTGTTGGTACAACTATACTCTCATACATTCCCCTCTTTGCTTCCAAGGACAAAGTTCTTTGTCTCCACAGACTCCAAAGTGCACCACTCACCCTTTTCCCCTCATAAATTCTATGATTCACCTCATCTTTCATAGACCCATCCGCTGACACGTCCACTCCCAAATATCTGAATACATTCACCTCCTCCATACTCTCTCCCTCCAATCTGATATCCAATCTTTCATCACCTAATCTTTTTGTTATCCTCATAACCTTACTCTTTCCTGTATTCACTTTTAATTTTCTTCTTTTGCACACCCTACCAAATTCATCCACCAACCTCTGCAACTTCTCTTCAGTATCTCCCAAGAGCAGAGTGTCATCAGCAAAGAGCAGCTGTGACAACTCCCACTTTATGTGTGATTCTTTATCTTTTAACTCCACACCTCTTGTCAAGACCCTCGCATTTACTTCTGTTACAACCCCATCTATAAATATATTAAACAACCACGGTGACATCACACATCCTTGTGATTATTATTAACCCATAAACGGTCCAAACGTATATATACGTTTTTTCAACATTTGAAGTATGTAAAAAAAGTAGATCTTTTTTTTTTTTTACATTTTTTTTTTTTTTTTATTTATCACACCGGCCGGTTCCCACCAAGGCAGGGTGGCCCGAAAAAGAAAAACTTTCACCATCATTCACTCCATCACTGTCTTGCCAGAAGGGTGCTTTACACTACAGTTTTTAAACTGCAACATTAACACCCCTCCTTCAGAGTGCAGGCACTGTACTTCCCATCTCCAGGACTCAAGTCCGGCCTGCCGGTTTCCCTGAATCCCTTCATAAATGTTACTTTGCTCACACTCCAACAGCACGTCAAGTATTAAAAACCATTTGTCTCCATTCACTCCTATCAAACACGCTCACGCATGCCTGCTGGAAGTCCAAGCCCCTCACACACAAAACCTCCTTTACCCCCTCCCTCCAACCCTTCCTAGGCCGACCCCTACCCCGCCTTCCTTCCACTACAGACTGATACACTCTTGAAGTCATTCTGTTTCGCTCCATTCTCTCTACATGTCCGAACCACCTCAACAACCCTTCCTCAGCCCTCTGGACAACAGTTTTGGTAATCCCGCACCTCCTCCTAACTTCCAAACTACGAATTCTCTGCATTATATTCACACCACACATTGCCCTCAGACATGACATCTCCACTGCCTCCAGCCTTCTCCTCGCTGCAACATTCATCACCCACGCTTCACACCCATATAAGAGCGTTGGTAAAACTATACTCTCATACATTCCCCTCTTTGCCTCCAAGGACAAAGTTCTTTGTCTCCACAGACTCCTAAGTGCACCACTCACTCTTTTCCCTCATCAATTCTATGATTCACCTCATCTTTCATAGACCCATCCGCTGACACGTCCACTCCCAAATATCTGAATACGTTCACCTCCTCCATACTCTCTCCCTCCAATCTGATATTCAATCTTTCATCACCTAATCTTTTTGTTATCCTCATAACCTTACTCTTTCCTGTATTCACCTTTAATTTTCTTCTTTTGCACACCCTACCAAATTCATCCACCAATCTCTGCAACTTCTCTTCAGAATCTCCCAAGAGCACAGTGTCATCAGCAAAGAGCAGCTGTGACAACTCCCACTTTGTGTGTGATTCTTTATCTTTTAACTCCACGCCTCTTGCCAAGACCCTCGCATTTACTTCTCTTACAACCCCATCTATAAATATATTAAACAACCACGGTGACATCACACATCCTTGTCTAAGGCCTACTTTTACTGGGAAAAAAATTCCCTCTTTCCTACATACTCTAACTTGAACCTCACTATCCTCGTAAAAACTCTTCACTGCTTTCAGTAACCTACCTCCTACACCATACACTTGCAACATCTGCCACATTGCCCCCCTATCCACCCTGTCATATGCCTTTTCCAAATCCATAAATGCCACAAAGACCTCTTTAGCCTTATCTAAATACTGTTCACTTATATGTTTCACTGTAAACACCTGGTCCACACACCCCCTACCTTTCCTAAAGCCTCCTTGTTCATCTGCTATCCTATTTTCGTCTTACTCTTAATTCTTTCAATTATAACTCTACCATACACTTTACCAGGTACACTCAACAGACTTATCCCCCTATAATTTTTGCACTCTCTTTTATCCCCTTTGCCTTTATACAAAGGAACTATGCATGCTCTCTGCCAATCCCTAGGTACCTTACCCTCTTCCATACATTTATTAAATAATTGCACCAACCACTCCAAAACTACATCCCCACCTGCTTTTAACATTTCTATCTTTATCCCATCAATCCCGGCTGCCTTACCCCCTTTCATTTTACCTACTGCCTCACGAACTTCCCCCACACACACAACTGGCTCTTCCTCACTCCTACAAGATGTTATTCCTCCTTGCCCTATACACGAAATCACAGCTTCCCTATCTTCATCAACATTTAACAATTCCTCAAAATATTCCTTCCATCTTCCCAATACCTCTAACTCTCCATTTAATAACTCTCCTCTCCTATTTTTAACAGACAAATCCATTTGTTCTCTAGGCTATCTTAACTTGTTAATCTCACTCCAAAACTTTTTCTTATTTTCAACAAAATTTGTTGATAACATCTCACCCACTCTCTCATTTGCTCTCTTTTTACATTGCTTCACCACTCTCTTAACTTCTCTCTTTTTCTCCATATACTCTTCCCTCCTTGCATCACTTCTACTTTGTAAAAACTTCTCATATGCTAACTTTTTCTCCCTTACTACTCTCTTTACATCATCATTCCACCAATCGCTCCTCTTCCCTCCTGCACCCACTTTCCTGTAACCACAAACTTCTGCTGAACACTCCAACACTACATTTTTAAACCTACCCCATACCTCTTCGACCCATTGCCTATGCTCTCATTAGCCCATCTATCCTCCAATAGCTGTTTATATCTTACCCTAACTGCCTCCTCTTTTAGTTTATAAACCTTTACCTCTCTCTTCCCTGATGCTTCTATTCTCCTTGTATCCCATCTACCTTTTACTCTCAGTGTAGCTACAACTAGAAAGTGATCTGATATATCTGTGGCCCCTCTATAAACATGTACATCCTGAAGTCTACTCAACAGTCTTTTATCTACCAATACATAATCCAACAAACTACTGTCATTTCGCCCTACATCATATCGTGTATACTTATTTATCCTCTTTTTCTTAAAATATGTATTACCTATAACTAAACCCCTTTCTATACAAAGTTCAATCAAAGGGCTCCCATTATCATTTACACCTGGCACCCCAAACTTACCTACCACACCCTCTCTAAAAGTTTCTCCTACTTTAGCATTCAAGTCCCCTACCACAATTACTCTCTCACTTGGTTCAAGGGCTCCTATACATTCACTTAACATCTCCCAAAATCTCTCTCTCTCCTCTGCATTCCTCTCTTCTCCAGGTGCATACACGCTTATTATGACCCACTTCTCGCATCCAACCTTTACTTTAATCCACATAATTCTTGAATTTACACATTCATATTCTCTTTTCTCCTTCCATAACTGATCATTTAACATTACTGCTACCCCTTCCTTTGCTCTAACTCTCTCAGATACTCCAGATTTAATCCCATTTATTTCCCCCCACTGAAACTCTCCTACCCCCTTCAGCTTTGTTTCGCTTAGGGCCAGGACATCCAACTTCTTTTCATTCATAACATCAGCAATCATCTGTTTCTTGTCATCCGCACTACATCCACGCACATTTAAGCAACCCAGTTTTATAAAGTTTTTCTTCTTCTCTTTTTTAGTAATTGTATACAGGAGAAGGGGTTACTAGCCCATTGCTCCCGGCATTTTAGTCGCCTCATACGACACGCATGGCTTACGGAGGAAAGATTCTTTTCCACTTCCCCATGGACAATAGAAGAAATAAAAAAGAACAAGAGCTATTTAGAAAAAGGAGAAAAACCTAGATGTATGTATATATATATATGCATGTGCGTGTCTATGAAGTGTGACCATTTGAAAACCATTTGAAAACGTGTAAAAAACTTTGATCTACTTTTTTTTTGTTATATTTGAAAATATGTAAAAAAAAAAACATAGATCTACTTTTGGAGCACTACACATATGAACGTAGATTTGCTTGGACCGTTTATGGGTTAAATGCCAGGAGCAAGGTGCTAGTAACACCTTCTGTATAAATTACTGAATTTAAAAGAAAAACTTATGTTTCTCTTTTTAGGTCACCTTGCCTTGGTGGGATGTGGCCGATTTGTTAAAAGAAAAAAAAAATTATTGAGTTTAATTATTGTAAAGATTACAGTTTGGATTACAGGTTGGAATATGAACACTGCTCACCATGAACATTATATGATGGCTCATAGGGAAGATAGAAGAAGCTTCTTGTAGACAGTTTGCAGCCTCAGTCAACTGGTCTGTCCTGAAACACACAAAAATTCTATGTTTAAGAAAACGCTTCTTCGAATTACGATGCCATTATTTCTGCTGTTGGGACTGGTCTAGTAATAGCATCTGGGGAGGCAGCCCCCAAAAAAAACATCCATAAGACAAGTAAAAGGTCACTATAGATACAAAAAATGTAAGGAATAAAAGGTTTGATAGAAGTGAACCATGCCACTGACCCGTCTAAAGGCCTGACTCATATCTAAATCTCTATATGACTATGTGATTTTTTTTTTAGCATACTGGCAGTCTCCCACCAAGGTTAGATGACCCAAAAGAGAGGCAATACATTCACCATCATTCACTCAGTTGCTGTCTTGCCAGAAGGGTGCTGATACTGCATTTGAGATGACCCTCTGGACTGCATCGTCCTCAACCCTTCCCTGAGTGTGAGGGTACTGTACTTCCCACCACCATCCTTCCTTCCCTGAGTGTGAGGGTACTGTACTTCCCACCACCACCCCTCCTTCCCTGAGTGTGAGGGTACTGTACTTCCCACCACCACCCCTCCTTCCCTGAGTGTGAGGGTACTGTACTTCCCACCACCACCCCTCCTTCCCTGAGTGTGAGGGTACTGTACTTCCCACCACCACCCCTCCTTCCCTGAGTGTGAGGGTACTGTACTTCCCACCACCACCCCTCCTTCCCTGAGTGTGAGGGTACTGTACTTCCCACCACCACCCCTCCTTCCCTGAGTGTGAGGGTACTGTACTTCCCACCACCACCCCTCCTTCCCTGAGTGTGAGGGTACTGTACTTCCCACCACCACCCCTCCTTCCCTGAGTGTGAGGGTACTGTACTTCCACCACCACCCCTCCTTCCCTGAGTGTGAGGGTACTGTACTTCCCACCACCACCCCTCCTTCCCTGAGTGTGAGGGTACTGTACTTCCCACCACCACCCCTCCTTCCCTGAGTGTGAGGGTACTGTACTTCCCACCACCATCCTTCCTTCCCTGAGTGTGAGGGTACTGTACTTCCCACCACCACCCCTCCTTCCCTGAGTGTGAGGGTACTGTACTTCCCACCACCACCCCTCCTTCCCTGAGTGTGAGGGTACTGTACTTCCCACCACCACCCTTCCTTCCCTGAGTGTGAGGGTACTGTACTTCCCACCACCACCCTTCCTTCCCTGAGTGTGAGGGTACTGTACTTCCCACCACCCCTCCTTCCCTGAGTGTGAGGGTACTGTACTTCCCACCACCACCCCTCCTTCCCTGAGTGTGAGGGTACTGTACTTCCCACCACCACCCTTCCTTCCCTGAGTGTGAGGGTACTGTACTTCCCACCACCACCCTTCCTTCCCTGAGTGTGAGGGTACTGTACCTCCCATCACCACCCTTCCTTCCCTGAGTGTGAGGGTACTGTACTTCCCACCACCACCCTTCCTTCCCTGAGTGTGAGGGTACTGTACTTCCCACCTCCACCCCTCCTTCCCTGAGTGTGAGGGTACTGTACTTCCCACCTCCACCCCTCCTTCCCTGAGTGTGAGGGTACTGTACTTCCCACCTCCACCCCTCCTTCCCTGAGTGTGAGGGTACTGTACTTTAAACCTCCACCCCTCCTTCCCTGAGTGTGAGGGTACTGTACTTCCCACCACCACCCCTCCTTCCCTGAGTGTGAGGGTACTGTACTTCCCACCACCACCCTTCCTTCCCTGAGTGTGAGGGTACTGTACTTCCCACCACCACCCCTCCTTCCCTGAGTGTGAGGGTACTGTACCTCCCATCACCACCCTTCCTTCCCTGAGTGTGAGGGTACTGTACTTCCCACCACCACCCTTCCTTCCCTGAGTGTGAGGGTACTGTACTTCCCACCACCACCCTTCCTTCCCTGAGTGTGAGGGTACTGTACTTCCCACCACCACCCCTCCTTCCCTGAGTGTGAGGGTACTGTACTTCCCCCACCACCCCTCCTTCCCTGAGTGTGAGGGTACTGTACTTCCCACCACCACCCCTCCTTCCCTGAGTGTGAGGGTACTGTACTTCCCACCACCACCCCTCCTTCCCTGAGTGTGAGGGTACTGTACTTCCCACCACCACCCTTCCTTCCCTGAGTGTGAGGGTACTGTACTTCCCACCACCACCCCTCCTTCCCTGAGTGTGAGGGTACTGTACTTCCCACCACCACCCCTCCTTCCCTGAGTGTGAGGGTACTGTACTTCTCACCACCACCCCTCCTTCAGAGTGCAGGCACTGTACTTCCCACCACCACCCCTCCTTCAGAGTGCAGGCACTGTACTTCCCACCACCACCCCTCCTTCAGAGTGCAGGCACTGTACTTCCCACCACCACCCCTCCTTCAGAGTGCAGGCACTGTACTTCCTACCACCACCCCTCCTTCAGAGTGCAGGCACTGTACTTCCTACCACCACCCCTCCTTCAGAGTGCAGGCACTGTACTTCCTACTGCCACCCCTCCTTCAGAGTGCAGCCACTGTACTTCCCACCTCCACCCCTCCTTCAGAGTGCAGGCACTGTACTTCCTACTGCCACCCCTCCTTCAGAGTGCAGCCACTGTACTTCCCACCTCCACCCCTCCTTCAGAGTGCAGGCACTGTGTACTTCCTACCTCCACCCATCCTTCAGAGTGCAGGCACTGTGTACTTCCCACCTCCACCCATCCTTCAGAGTGCAGGCACTGTGTACTTCCTACCTCCACCCATCCTTCAGAGTGCAGGCACTGTACTTCCCACCACGACCCCTCCTTCAGAGTGCAGGCACTGTGTACTTCCTGCCACCACCTCTCCTTCAGAGTGCAGGCACTGTACTTCCCGCTTCCACCTCGACTTCAGAGTACAGGCACTGTACTTCCCACTTCCAGGACTCAAGTTTGGTTAACCAATTTTCCCATATGTCACCTTGCTTACACTCCAACAGCACATCAAGTCATAAAAATCTCTTGCCTCCACTCACTCTTGTTATTCCATGCTGAAATTCTGCCCAAGCTGTGTATACAGTACACCAAGTGTACATCTATAGCAGAATACACCCACAAGTGTAACTAAAAAATGATACATAGTTACATAGTTTATAGTATTTTACTGAGAAGCCTTAGGCCTACTAGTACAGTGGAATCCTTGTATCCATGGATTCAATTTTTCTATTTTCAGTTAACCATGGTTTACCCTGGCCTGAAAATAACTCTTAATTTAGCTTAGTAATAGCCCCAAAATGCAACAGTGGTTGATGGTGGCAGTTCTTCGAAGTCTAAGAGAAGCAGTGAAGTGTTTCCAATCAGTGAAAAAGTGATAATTCTTGAATTACTGAATTACTTGAATTACTTGAATTACAGCCTCTCCTCACTTAGCGACGTACTCATTTACCAACGACTCGGACTTACTGCCAGCGGTAACAGCCTGGTTGATCAGACCCCGATCCACCACGAGCATTGGTCTCAGACCGAGCCACGAGGGCGTTGACCCCCGAAGCCCTCTTCAGGTAAACTCCAGGTCTCCAAGCAACAACAAGCATTGTTTACACAGTAATGCGTGACACTTGGGCACATGTTGAACGCTCATAGTTACGCAGAGCATTTCGGGCAAGTGTAAGCCTAACTTAAGACAAGGGCATATCATTGTACACGATTAAGTGGTAATCAAAATATTACCTCCATCGGAGTGCATGCACTCTGATGGAGGGGTGAGGATGCTGCAATTTTAAGGAGCACCTAAGCTGTTACGTTGGCACACCTCTGGCAAGACAGTAATGGAGTGAGTGATGGTAAAAGTGTTTCTTCTTTCCTGAGGGTCATCCTGCCTAGTGGAAGACTTTCAGTGTGTATTACCAAAGATAAAATCCAGTCAGACAAGAGGATCCTTTCTAATATAAACAAGCTAAATTCTCTTAATAAACAGAGATATCAGAGCATTGGCAATTACAAACTCTAATGGTAAAAAATTGATGTGTATATCAAATATTGAAAAAAGTATATATATCACGTACATTATGTACAAAAATATTTCAGTTTCACATCAAAAAAAAAAAAAAAAAAAAAAAAAAGCCTGCAGAAAAACATTTCGAGAAACTTCTCTATTGAAGTAAAAAAAAAAAAAAAAAAAAAAAAAAAAAAAGTGCTACAGGAAGCCCATGCAAGTACCGTACTTTCCAACATATAAGGTGTGCCTTTTTACCCCAAAAAAAGTCTTGGAAAATCATCGTGTGCCTTATATGCTCAAGGTCAGAGGTCAAGGTCAGAGGTCAAGGTCAGAGGTCAAGGTCAGTGGTCAAGGGTAGGCTTTGTGTTAGACTTTACCATTGTTTACTAACACGTCACAACTGCTTGGAAACATACTCGTGTAAGTCTTACATTCCCGTGTGCCTTATATGTTGGAAACTACAGTACTTAGCAAGCAAGCACTCAAGCAACTACTGTATTATAATACATTCATACACAGGATTCAGCAAGCAAAGCACTTATGAGGAAAGGTCAGGAAAATAGTCTCAGATGTTTCAGCAAGGTCACTAGCTTCTCTCTCCCTTATTTAGTTATGTGAAAGAGAGTATCAATAAAGAATTAAAAAGTAGTGATACTGTAACTGGAACAACTCACCGATACAAATCGTTATAATCATAATCGTAATTTTTAAAGTGGTGGAGTGGTAAGCCAGTGGAAGACCTCGGTCAGATGACCAAAAGCCCCAACTGTGGGTCATCATATGACTAAGACCCGCGTCGGGAAACACTTGTCCTGCTTCCTGACAAACATTGTACCTGCCTCCCATGACAATGTTTTCTTCTGTTGTGAACCACTGTCAAGTCACAATGAGGCAGAGGAATTAGAGAAGACCAAAAGACGATACTATTCTTGCCCAGTTGTGATCTGACGGTGGTCCAGGAGGGAGCAAAACATTGCCATGAGGTTTCTCTCTTAAGTGCAGATTTGTGGTGAAACTGTTCCAGCCACGGTACTGTGACTTTTTATTCTTTATTTACTCCATACCCATCCTGAAGGTGGTGGTCACCCAATACCCATCCTGTAGGTGGTAGTCACTCCATACCTAGCCTGAAGGTGGTGGTCACCCCATACCCATCCTGTAGGTGGTAGTCACTCCATACCCATCCTGAAGGTGGTGGTCACCCCATACCCATCCTGTAGGTGGTAGTCACTCCATACCCATCCTGAAGGTGGTGGTCACCCAATACCCATCCTGTAGGTGGTAGTCACTCCATACCTAGCCTGATAATGCTAGTCATTCCATACCCATCCTGAAGATGGTGGTCACCCCATACGCATCCCGTAGGTGGTAGTCACTCCATACCTAGCCTGATAATGCTAGTCATTCCATACCCATCCTGAAGATGGTGGTCACCCCATACGCATCCCGTAGGTGGTAGTCACTCCATACCCAGCCTGATAATGCTAGTCACTCCATACCCATCCTACAGGTGCTAGTCCAAAGAATATAAACACACACAACTGGAGTCCAGGGAGTGATCCCCAATAATGTTACTGTTATCAGTTACATGTCTCACTACAGTACTGTGTTAAAGTATCATGAGCCACAAATGAAGTACAAAGAAATTCTTTCTCTGAATAATAAGTTAACCAATCAAACCCCGTCCATTCTGTGGTTCGTTAGCAATCGTTTTATTATGATTTCGAGAGTCGTGAAGTCATGAATGCAGAGACAGGGAACACGTAGGATGCACAATAGGGATCAGATCCCAGATTAGACAAGGAGAGAGGATAGTCGAAGCTTAAAAAATCTAGCCACTAAGAGACACTGTGAAGCTAATGAAAATTCAATTGGGATAAGGATCTGTAAAGTAAAAGGACACAAGTGCAACTAATGTGACATTTTTATTGTGGCACAATAAAAATGTCACATTAGATGCACTTGTGTCCTTTTACTTTACATATTGTCAGTAATTCTACCAACATTATTACAATCTGATGGATAAGGATCAGGCAAGAGTATAAAGGGATTTGGACAGGCAACTGGCTCCTGGAGTTTAACCCCACCAAGTGCAAGTCATGAAGATTGGGGAAGGACAAAGAAGACAGGATGCTTACTAACCAGTATATCTAAGCCAATGTAAAGACTGAGCACCTTGACGAGTCTTGACGTTACAAGACACGGTGTCATAGTACGGGAGTTAACATACAACGTACTGGAGAAATTGATACTTACTTTATATATAACTGAGCTGTAAGAAGCCAAATTTGAATTTGAAGAAGCCATGCTTGATGTGGTCCTGGTTTTGGCTGATAGGATGAGAGCGACGACGCCACTTCGGACAAGGCTTGTTCGACGCGCGAGGCCGCTACGCTCTCGGCATGTACTGAAGCTGTGGGGGGGTGAGGGGGAGAGTCAAGGGTGAGTTGGGATTTTGTCACGTGTTTCTCAGGGTTAGTGTCCATTTGTATTGTAGGAGAGAGAAGCCTAAGGTTCAAGGACACCACTTCGGAGAAGACAAGTCCCATGGAGGTGGGAGCCGAACTTTCAGCAGTGGTCGGGGCTGCGGGGAGAGGGTCAGGTTCTCAATGAGGAGGTTATGACCAGCCCTTCACAGCAAATAAGAAATAGAATAGACGAGGCCCCAACTTACAAACACTTCAAGTTACATTTTTACAAAAAAACACTACAGTGAAAATAGGAAATAAAACCCGAGAATGTGCGTGTGCTTACACACACATCTTCAGAGGAACAGGAAGAAAAGAATATTTATATGGTAAACGCTGAGGTGACACATCAGGGTTTAACATGTAAAATATGCTTCTCTTGCCTCTTCTTCCTATTCCTCTGAAAATGTGTAAGCACATGAAAGTGCTCAGTCATTATTTCCTGTTTTCACTGTGGTATCTTTCCATATTTGCAATCATGCATTTTATTGTGATTTCTACCATCCTTAGGTACAAATGAAGCACTTTGGAATTAATGGATATTATTACTGTTGAGACACAGTATAAATATGCAAGAAACTGTATAACACACTGTTTAGTGAGTTTTAAAACTGGTTTGAAAAATGGCAATACCAACAAGATAAGGAAAAAGACACCTGTGTAAAGTTCAGGACATTTATTAAATGAAAAATTTCACTACATGTGGCTTTTTCAATCCTAGAAAAAGCCGCACATGGCGAAACGTGTCCTCTAATAAACATCTGGAACTGCACGTAAGTGTTCTTTTCCACAGGACTTGCTTGTAACGAGTTCATGCCTCACCCACTAAGTGATTTATGTGAGAAACGTAACCGTTCTTTGTACCACTGTTTGCAAAACGCACAACTTATTTCTAAGTTGAAATTACAGGAATGCAACTTAGTTTGTAAACTGGGGGACCTCTTATACTGTACAAGAGAGAAGCTTTGAAACTTTCAGGCAAGCATGTTAAGTTTAAAGGAGTGCTCAGGCCTTGAACCAACAGCCTGCTGATAGTGGGAGTGCCGTCTGTACTGTCAGTCTCAGAACTATTCTTCTATGACTACAGTAGTAGAGGGGCTGACTAGCACTCAAGACCCTAGACTATCCCTAAATCACTGTACTACAGTAATAAAGGGATTGACTAGCATTCAAGACCCTGGACTATCCCTAAACCTCTATACCACAGTAGTAGAGGGACTAACCATACCACGGGTGGGGATAGAACCCACAATCAGAGTCTCAAAACTCCAGACTGTCGCTTTAGCCACTGGACCAGCTAGCCACAATAAGATTCGTCCAACTAGGTATATTTCTACACCATAGGAAGGTTAGCATAGGCACAACTGTGACCACAAATGCAAGTTTTTACAGACGAATCTCCAGCTAGCATGGCCGTGACGAATTCTAGCTCAGGTCCCCTCAAAGCCGTCAACATGACTCACAAAATCATAATGACACGATTGCAAACAAACCATACCACGGGCGGGGACAGAACCCGCGATCAGAGAGTCTCAAAGCTCCAGACCACACTAGCTGGAGATTCGTCTGTAAAAACTTGCATTTGTGGTCACAGTGGTGCCTATGCTAACCTTCCTATGGTGTGGAAATATACCTAGTTGAATGAATCTTATTGTGGCTAGCTGGTCCAGTGGCTAACACGACGGTCTGGAGTTTTGAGACTCTCTGATCGCGGGTTCTATCCCTGCCCATGGTATGGTTTGTTTGCAATCGTGTCATTACAATTTCGTGAGTCAAGCAGAGGGACTAACTAGCACTCTCAAGACCCTAGAGTATCCCTAAATCACAGTACTACAGTGGTAAAGGGACTGACGAGCACTCAAGACCCTAGACTATCCCTAAGCCTCTACAACACAGTAGTAGAGAGACTAACTAGTACTCTCAAGACCCTGGACTATCCCTAAACCACTACACCACAGTAGTACAGGATAATACAAGTATTCTCCACAACATCAGGCTATCAGTTCAAAACATTAAGCACTCCAGTGAATTGTTATCTTGGCTTATTATGAATCTTCAGCATACATATAATTTATTTACAGAATCTTTCATCACAGAGGTTTTAAAGCACAACAACAGCTCACAATGGACCACATAAAGTATATACAAAAACACAAACATTTACAGCAATAGCAGCACAAAGAGTCATATTTACAGAAGGTAAGGAATTATGTAACTAAAAACTCAAAAACATAATAAATAATGTAACTAGATCAATAAAATTAAGAGTATAGCATTGCTCAAGTCATTAATTTTCTAAGCAATACTGTAATAAGAGAGAATTCTGGTTGACAAGGTCATTAGCCCTTTGAGGGTCCATGCCGTAGTTCTACAGCATTGAAGCCAGGGTCAGTGCCGTAGTACTACGTGATGAGGTCGCCTCGCTCAGATAAGCCGTCAGCGGCAAATTTTGGCCTAGATATGAGAGAATGGGTTGATGCAATAAGTATGCACCCCATAAAACAAATCCTGCAGCACAGTGCATGAGAAAAAAACTGCGACCGTGTTTTTGGTTTAAAACAACTTTGCAGTGTATTTTTATATATGTAGTTTTAATGGTTGTATTCTCAGTTTCTTGGTCTCATTTGATACAATGGGACATATATTACAGAAACAGACTAGATTTTGATGGGTTTTAGAAGCGAAAATAGCTGAAATTGAGCTCAAAGTAGTGAAAATTTGTTTTTCGCCGATGTTCAAAAGTAAACAAATCACGTCCCACATCCAATACACCTCAACTGGTGGGTCTTGAATGTGTTGATATTATTTATACAATTATTACAATATTAAAAGACAGTAACTCTTCTATTTTTTGTGTGAATAAAAATTATTTGTGTGAATAAAAAATCAAAATGAAATTCACATGTAAAACCTGGAAATGTAACAAATAAATAGAGGAAATGTTAAGTTAGTGCCAGGAATGTCTGCATTGTTTATTCTGGACCCTATTTTGAAATTGGCACATATTGTAATTTGTGTGAAATTGGCCAAATTACCAATTTTGGATCACTTTATTGAGTAGTTGAAATAGTTGATTGGGTGATTTCTTGTTCATTTTCAATAAGATGTAACACATACTAGAGAAATATTTAAGAATTTGGTCCAATGGAACAATGTAACTGGCCAAAAATAGGACTCAAAGTGGGCAAAAATTGCTGATGCCTAAATATCACTGATAGCAAAATTCGCGAGAGCGTAATTTCGTCAATTTTTTATCAAATTTCGTACTTTTTGTTTTATTACTTTCAGAAAAAGATTCTCTGCCGTTTCATAAAAAAAAAAAAATAATTAAATTCTTGGACCCTGTGGGGAATTTTCAGATTGGGGGTCGGGACCCTCAAGGGGGTTAATGATGGGAATTGGAAAAACTTGGAGTTGAATAAGACATGTGAAAGAGCTGAGTGTATTTATTGAGGAGATAATTCAGCAACCAGTGGCTTTATCAGTTCAGTATAGAGATTAATGTAACTTACTGTAATTTTTAAAACTGAATATATCATTGTTTAGTTAATCTTAGGTTAATTTTAAGCCTGCCCATAATGCTCTGCATACAAGGAGCTTTTGGCATGTACACCCAATCACTATATTTCTTTGTACAACTTGTATCATGTCCAAATAAAAAATAAATAAATAAATAAATGACCAGAGATGACGGATGATATGTGGTGAAGTAGTCGACTGAGATGATCAGCCCCTCAGCCTTCATAGGTGGTGTTCAGTTCATCTGTCCTGATGGATCTGATTTATCAAGGCTGAAGGATTAATCACCTCAAACTTCTACCGTAAGTCTTTCATGGTTTCCAGTACTTAATCTCAGTAAGAAAGCCACTGGGTGACAAAATATCTTCAAAATAAATAACAAAAAGGCACAATACCGTGACTGGAACAATACACAAATAACCCGCACATAAAAGAGAGAAGCTTACGACGACGTTTCGTAAGCTTCTCTCTTTTATGTGCGGGTTATTTGTGTATCTTCAAAATAAAAGTATCCGATACACAATAACCAGCACATAGGAGAAAGAAGCTAACAATGGCCGCCTTGGACCAAAACATCATCAAAGGCTTCTCTCTCCTTTGTGCAGGTTATTTGTTTATTGTTCCAGTCACACACTGAGCCTTTTTGTTCCAAGTGTTACACACGTGTCTTATTCACCTGTCACATTTCTGTATACCATAAATATAGGGAAACTTTTTCATTAAACACCGATCACGCACACACCTGTGTCTTTATCTGACATATTGAATATGCTATACGTGTCATGGTTGGCATGTTGCTGCGAGTGAGCGTCGCTGATGTCACTTATCAACTGCTCCTTGTAGAGTTTCTGCCACAGCGTCAGCATGTGGCGGGCCGTCAGCAAAGCGATTTCTCCGCCGTACACGGCCTCTTCCAGAGAGGCACGCACATATAACAGATGCAAGTTCTCGGGGTACTCTGCGAGAGCAGCTTCGACCAGCTAAGGGCATGAAATAAAGTGAATTCATTGGCACAAAATTCTGTTAAAAGCTAATAATAATAACAATAATTTGACTTCAGCATGATACATGTTTGTACAAAGAGTATAACAACTGGGTGTACATGCCAAAAGCCCCTTTATATGCAGAGAATTTTGGGCAAACTTAAGACTAAATCAAGATTAATAATGCAATAACAGTGCAGTAATTTTGTACATATGGTCATTAGGAGAGTTACAATTAATTGAAAAAAAGAAATAGATTTTTTTTTTCAAAATACAGTGGACCCCCGCATAACGATCACCTCCAAATGCGACCAATTATGTAAGTGTATTTATGTAAGTGCGTTTGTACGTGTATGTTTGGGGTTCTGAAATGGACTAATCTACTTCACAATATTCCTTATAGGAACAAATTCGGTCAGTACTGGCACCTGAACATACTTCTGGAATGAAAAAATATCGTTAACCGGGGGTCCACTGTATAGTTTTTACATATGTATTTATGATGGGCTGGGATAGGTTAAGAAGATAATGTTTTTTTAACTGTAGTTTTAAAAATGCTAGTTGAGTCAGTGGTTCTGGAGATTTCTTGCAGAGAGCTCCAGATTTTGGGCTCTTTCATGTACACTGAGTTTTTGAAAGATTTAGCCTAACACAGGGAATGTCAGAGATTTTTATGCCTAGTATGGTGTCTATGGGTTCTATTGCAACTGTCAGAAAAATGCTTCAGGTCAGGAATTATATCAGAATTGATAGTTTTGTAAATACAGGTTGCACAGTAGTACGAGTGAATGCTTTGTATAGTGGTAGGTTAAGGTCTTTGAAGAGTGGGGGAAGGGTGTTGTCTAACTGTGGATTGTGTGATTATTTGCACTGCAGTTTTTTTGTTGGGTTATTATTGGCTTTAGGTGATTTGTTGTTATGGAGCCACAGGCACAAATTGCGTAGGTGAGGTGGTGGTAGATCAGCGAGTAGTATAGTGGAAGTAGTGCTGTCTGTGGTATATAGTAATGTATCTTTGAGAGGATGCCAACTGTTTTGGATACTTTTTTTGTTATGTGTTGGATATGGGTGTTGAATTTCAGGTTGCTGTCAAGGTGTAGACCCAGGAATTTTCCCTCATTATGTTTAGTAATGTAAAATAATTGTAGATTTATATTATACACTCACTTGGCATGACGGTAGTACCTCCCTGGGCGGTTGCTGTCTACCAACCTAGGATTATAATAATAATTTTAATCCTAGGTAGTAGGTTGGTAGACGCAATCACCCAGGAGAAGGGAGGTACTACTGTCCTGCCAAGTGAATGTAAAATGGAAACCTGTAATTATTTTACATGATGATAGGATTGCTGGTGTCTTTTTTTTTTTCTGTCTCATAAACATGCAAGGTTTCAGGTACGTCTTGCTACTTCTACTTACACTTAGGTCACACTACACATACATGTACAAGCATAAATACACACACATCTCTGAGTTTTCTTCTATTTTTGTTACTAGTTATTGTTCTTGTTTATTTCCTCTCATCTCCATGGGGAAGTGGAGCAAAATTTTTCCTCCATAAGCCATACATGTCATAAGAGGCAACTACCATGCTGGGAGCAAGGTGCTAGTAACCCCTTCTCCTGTATACATTACTAAAGTTAACAGAAACTTTTGTTTTTCTTCTTGGGCCACCCTGCCTTGGTGGGATACTGCCAGTTTGTTGAAAGAAGACATTGTATCATATGGAAATAAATCTTTCACTTTGACAAACTCACCTCAAGTGCCTCTTCATAATCCTTCTCAGCTGAGAGAAGAAGGATAAGCAAGTGTAGTGAGTGAGGATGAGCAGAGCGCAGGTACAGTGCAAGCTTGACGTGCTGCGTCGCCTCATTGAGGTGGTAGCACTGTGCATAGTGAAGTGCAAGGTAGAACTCCACCAGATGGTCACTCGAATCTAACTGCTGGGCCCTACGAATTAAAAAAATGCTGAACAGTGAGTCCTTGACTTACAAACACATTGGGGACCTCCTGAGTTGTGTGTAATATTCATAATACGGAAAGTTTTCAACTTACAAACACATTGGGGACCTCCTGAATTGTGCACAATATTATATAATAATGATATTACTTGGAGTATACCTGGAGAGAGTTTCAGGGGTCAATGACCCCCCAAGCCCGGTCTGTGACCAGGCCTTATTACACACAATAATATCATACATAATAATGGTATAATAATGATATACACACTACAGAAGATTCTCAATGTGTTTGTAAGTTGACGACTTACTGTACAGTGTCCTTGACTTACGATGGGGTTATGTTCCGATGAACTCATTGCAACAATAAAGATTTATTTCTCTGTAAAGGTTACAATATGTAATTAAAATTTTGGTTTGCTAAGTACAAAGAAAGCCACTATCATGCAGGGGCATTTCAGGCAGACTAATCCTAGTATATAATAACTACTTAAAACTAGACAAAATAATAGTGGTTAACTTAATTAAAATCTTATTTAATCTTAATACTAATGTGAGGTCGTCAAGGTAGAGGTTTATAATAATCTTGAAGTTGCACATAATAAAAACAATATTACAATTAATGATTTAAGCAGTAATATTTCATGGACTGGTAGATGTTTAACCCTTTCAGGGTCCGTCCCGTAGATCTACGGCTTTGCGTTCAGGGTCCAAACCGTAGATCTACGCCATGAGCTCAGCTCACTCTGATAAACTGTGAGTGGTAAATTTGGGCCTAGATATGAGAGAGTACATCTATGTGGTATGTGTACACCACATAAAACAAATCCTGCAGCACACTGTGTATTTTTTTTTGTTCAACAAGTCGGCGGTCTCCCACCGAGGCAGGGTGACCCAAAAAAGAAAGAAAATCCCCAAAAAGAAAATACTTTCATCATCATTCAACACTTTCACCACACTCACACATTATCACTGCTTTTGCAGAGGTGCTCAGAATACAACAGTTTAGAAGCATATACGTATAAAGATATACAACATATCCCTCCAAACTGCCAATATCCCAAACCCCTCCTTTAAAGTGCAGGCATTGTACTTCCTATTTCCAGAACTCAAGTCCGACTATATGAAAATAACCGGTTTCCCTGAATCCCTTCACTAAATATTACCCTGCTCACACTCCAACAGATCGTCAGGTCCCAAGTACCATTCGTCTCCATTCACTCCTATCTAACACGCTCACGCCCGCTTGCTGGAAGTCCAAGCCCCTTGCCCACAAAACCTCCTTTACCCCCTCTCTCCAACCCTTTCAAGGATGACCCCTACCCCTCCTTCCTTCCCCTATAGATTTATATGCTTTCCATGTCATTCTACTTTGATCCATTCTCTCTAAATGACCAAACCACCTCAACAACCCCTCTTCTGCCCTCTGACTAATGCTTTTATTAACTCCACACCTTTTCCTAATTTCCACACTCCGAATTTTCTGCATAATATTTACACCACACATTGCCCTTAGACAGGACATCTCCACTGCCTCCAACCGTCTCCTCATTGCTGCATTTACCACCCAAGCTTCACATCCATATAAGAGTGTTGGTACTACTATACTTTCATACATTCCCTTCTTTGCCTCCATAGATAACGTTTTTTGACTCCACATATACCTCAATGCACCACTCACCTTTTTTCCCTCATCAATTCTATGATTAACCTCATCCTTCATAAATCCATCCGCCGACACGTCAACTCCCAAGTATATCTGAAAACATTCACTTCTTCCATATTCCTTCTCCCCAATTTAATATCCAATTTTTCTTTATCTAAATCATTTGATACCCTCATCACCTTACTCTTTTCTATGTTCACTTTCAACTTTCTACCTTTACACACATTCTCAAACTCATCCACTAACCTTTGCAATTTTTCTTTAGAATCTCCCATAAGCACAGTATCATCAGCAAAAAGTAACTGTATCAATACCCATTTTGAATTTGATTCCCCATAATTTAATCCCACCCCTCTCCCAAACACCCTAGCATTTACTTCTTTTACAACCCCATCTATAAAAATATTAAACAACCATGGTGACATTACACATCCCTGTCTAAGACCTACTTTTACCGGGAAGTAGTCTCCCTCTCTTCTACACACCCTAACCTGAGCCTCACTATCCTCATAAAAACTCTTAACAGCATTTAGCAACTTACCACCTATTCCATATACTTGCAACATCTGCCACATTGCTCCTCTATCCACTCTATCATATGCCTTTTCTAAATCCATAAATGCAATAAAAACTTCCCTACCTTTATCTAAATACTGTTCCGTTTGGAGGGATATGTTGTGTATCTTTATACGTATATGCTTCTAAACTGTTGTATTCTGAGCACCTCTGCAAAAACAGTGATAATGTGTGAGTGTGGTGAAAGTGTTGAATGATGATGAAAGTATTTTCTTTTTGGGGATTTTCTTTCTTTTTTGGGTCACCCTGCCTCGGTGGGAGACGGCAGACTTGTTGAAAAAAAAAAAAAAAAAAATATATGCTTCAATGTAAACACTTGATCTACACATCCCCTACCCACTCTGAAGCCTCCCTGCTCATCCGCAATCCTACATTCTGTCTTACCTCTAATTCTTTCAATTATAACTCTACCGTATACTTTTCCTGGTATACTCAGTAAACTTATTCCTCTATAATTTTTACAATCTCTTTTGTCCCCTTTCCCTTTATATAAAGGGACTATACATACTCTCCGCCAATCCCTAGGTACCTTCCCCTCTTTCATACATTTATTAAACAAAAGTACCAACCACTCCAACACTATATCCCCCCCTGCTTTTAACATTTCTGTCATGATCCCATCAGTTCCAGCTGCTGTACCCCTTTTCATTCTACATAATGCCTCACGTACCTCCCCCACACTTACATTCTGCTCTTCTTCACTCCTAAAAGATGATATACCTCCCTGGCCAGTGCATGAAATTACTGCCTCTCTTTCTTCCTTAACATTTAAAAGTTCCTCAAAATATATTATTATTTATTATCACACTGGCCGATTCCCACCAAGGCAGGGTGGCCCGAAAAAGAAAAACTTTCACCATCATTCACTCCATCACTGTCTTGCCAGAAGGGTACTTTACACTACAGTTTTTAAACTGCAACATTAACACCCCTCCTTCAGAGTGCAGGCACTGTACTTCCCATCTCCAGGACTCAAGTCCGGCCTGCCGGTTTCCCTGAACCCCTTCATAAATGTTACTTTGCTCACACTCCAACAGCAGGTCAAGTATTAAAAACCATTCGTCTCCATTCACTCCTATCAAACACGCTCATGCATGCCTGCTGGAAGTCCAAGCCCCTCGCACACAAAACCTCCTTTACCCCCTCCCTCCAACCTTTCCTAGGCCGACCCCTACCCCGCCTTCCTTCCACTACAGACTGATACACTCTTGAAGTCATTCTGTTTCGCTCCACTCTCTCTACATGTCCGAACCACCTCAACAACCCTCCCTCAGCCCTCTGGACAACAGTTTTGGTAATCCCGCACCTCCTCCTAACTTCCAAACTACGAATTCTCTGCATTATATTCACACCACACATTGCCCTCAGACATGACATCTCCACTGCCTCCAGCCTTCTCCTCGCTGCAACATTCATCACCCACGCTTCACACCCATATAAGAGCGTTGGTAAAACTATACTCTCATACATTCCCCTCTTTGCCTCCAAGGACAAAGTTCTTTGTCTCCACAGACTCCTAAGTGCGCCACTCACTCTTTTTCCCTCATCAATTCTATGATTCACCTCATCTTTCATAGACCCATCCGCTGACACGTCCACTCCCAAATATCTGAATACGTTCACCTCCTCCATACTCTCTCCCTCCAATCTGATATCCAATCTTTCATCACCTAATCTTTTTGTTATCCTCATAACCTTACTCTTTCCTGTATTCACCTTTAATTTTCTTCTTTTGCACACCCTACCAAATTCATCCACCAATCTCTGCAACTTCTCTTCAGAATCTCCAGAGGCACAGTGTCATCAGCAAAGAGCAGCTGTGACAACTCCCACTTTGTGTGTGATTCTTTATCTTTTAACTCCACGCCTCTTGCCAAGACCCTCGCATTTACTTCTCTTACAACCCCATCTATAAATATATTAAACAACCATGGTGACATCACACATCCTTGTCTAAGGCCTACTTTTACTGGGAAAAAATTTCCCTCTTTCCTACATACTCTAACTTGAGCCTCACTATCCTCGTAAAAACTCTTCACTGCTTTCAGTAACCTACCTCCTACACCATACACCTGCAACATCTGCCACATTGCCCCCCATCCACCCTGTCATACGCCTTTTCCAAATCCATAAATGCCACAAAGACCTCTTTAGCCTTATCTAAATACTGTTCACTTATATGTTTCACTGTAAACACCTGGTCCACACACCCCCTACCTTTCCTAAAGCCTCCTTGTTCATCTGCTATCCTATTCTCCGTCTTACTCTTAATTCTTTCAATTATAACTCTACCATACACTTTACCAGGTATACTCAACAGACTTATCCCCCTATAATTTTTGCACTCTCTTTTATCCCCTCTGCCTTTATACAAAGGAACTATGCATGCTCTCTGCCAATCCCTAGGTACCTTACCCTCTTCCATACATTTATTAAATAATTGCACCAACCACTCCAAAACTATATCCCCACCTGCTTTTAACATTTCTATCCTTATCCCATCAATCCCGGCTGCCTTACCCCCTTTCATTTTACTACTGCCTCACGAACTTCCCCACACTCACAACTGGCTCTTCCTCACTCCTACAAGATGTTATTCCTCCTTGCCCTATACACGAAATCACAGCTTCCCTATCTTCATCAACATTTAACAATTCCTCAAAATATTCCCTCCATCTTCTCAATACCTCTAACTCTCCATTTAATAACTCTCCTCTCCTATTTTTAACTGACAAATCCATTTGTTCTCTAGGCTTTCTTAACTTGTTAATCTCACTCCAAAACTTTTTCTTATTTTCAACAAAATTTGTTGATAACATCTCACCCACTCTCTCATTTGCTCTCTTTTTACATTGCTTCACCACTCTCTTAACTTCTCTCTTTTTCTCCATATACTCTTCCCTCCTTGCATCACTTCTACTTTGTAAAAACTTCTCATATGCTAACTTTTTCTCCCTTACTACTCTCTTTACATCATCATTCCACCAATCGCTCCTCTTCCCTCCTGCACCCACTTTCCTGTAACCACAAACTTCTGCTGAACACTCTAACACTACATTTTTAAACCTACCCCATACCTCTTCGACCCCATTGCCTATGCTCTCATTAGCCCATCTATCCTCCAATAGCTGTTTATATCTTACCCTAACTGCCTCCTCTTTTAGTTTATAAACCTTCACCTCTCTCTTCCCTGATGCTTCTATTCTCCTTGTATCCCATCTACCTTTTACTCTCAGTGTAGCAACAACTAGAAAGTGATCTGATATATCTGTGGATAAGTAAATATACAAATAATTACTACAACTAGATACCAGTACTGAAAAGTAAATAAGTGAATACAAGTCACAAGTTACAGACTTGCCGCTTTCATGCTGGGTAATTATCTTCAGTTTCATCTCCAAAATAACTGTTTTTGCGTCATCGTGAAGTCGAAAAATTGTGAGTCGAAGAGCACCTCTATACTGAACATTATTTGGCTTTCTCATAGTTGATAAAACCTTAATGGAATACTTAATGATATCCTCATTGCACTACTGAAGTCCCCCAGGTCAGGCTGATACATTTCAACAACATGCATGAGCATTATCCTGCATGATAGGATATGACAGAGAAACATAGCAAGCTTTTGTTCCCACTGTGTTCGTAGAAAACAGGAAAACACACCTAGCTTTCGTGATAAATGGTTTTGAAAACGTTTTCAAAATCATTTATCACATCTGTCAAACACTGCATCATCAAGGGATATGGATACAAAGAATTCTTCAAAACTTGTCCAATCTTTGGACGAAGACCTACTTAGACTAGTGGATGGGACCACTATGACCCCGCCTCCTCCTGCTTTGCCTCATTTTACTACAGTACATAAGCCACTGCTATGGCCATGTGCTGTACTTTCTCAAAGATTGATGGACAGAACACATCGACTCCAGGCTGAGGGACTGATTACCTCAAACTCCTCATACCTTCCTATTTTGTATAAGACTGATGAAGCCACTGTGTGGTGAAACGTTCATTCAATAACGATTCCCATATGTTGCATAAGTGTCTCAATTCTTCATACCTAGCTTTTGTTCCCACTGTGTAACTATCATATATGACAGGGAAACGCCTTATATTCCCACTACGTAACTACTGTATATGGTATATGACTGGGTAATGATTATATAGAATAGAGTAGCAGCACACTGTTGATGTACCTAATTTTAATGCAAAAATTGTTATCAAATGTTAAATTTACATATTATACTACTCTATCTATTCCTATAACAACTGTCTTTCTGAAAAAAATCAATGTTAAAACTGATACTTTTATTGATAACACAATTAGGGATAAGAATTAACAACTGGGCGTCTACACCACAAACTGCATTGTTTGCTATCCTAATGGTGCTTAAGCTAACATATGACATTAAGTTTGACTCTATGATTATTACTAATTCCATGTCATCATTAAGACTCTTGACTCACATAATGATTAACATGCTTACTGAAGAACCCAGATATAGATACGGACAGCCCATGCTTGACAGCACTTTGCTTTACGGATTTTTGCTAATGCAGTGGTTTCCAATTTTAACCTTTCTTCATTTATTCAGACTTCTTACAATAAATATATTCACTATAGGCTCAGGATGAACATTTTTCAAGTAATTTGTATACTGTACTGTAGGGCCCTGCTTATACAGCAGGTCAGGTTCCAGGCTACTGTAGGGCCCCACTTATACAGCAGGTTAGGTTCCAGGCTACTGTAGGGCCCCACTTATACAGCAGGTTAGGTTCCAGGCTACTGTAGGGCCCCACTTATACAGCAGGTTAGGTTCCAGGCTACTGTAGGGCCCCACTTATACAGCAGGTTAGGTTCCAGGCTACTGTAGGGCCCCACTTATACAGCAGGTCAGGTTCCAGGCTACTGTAGGGCCCCACTTATACAGCAGGTTAGGTTCCAGGCTACTGTAGGGCCCCACTTATACAGCAGGTCAGGTTCCAGGCTACTGTAGGGCCCCACTTATACAGCAGGTTAGGTTCCAGGCTATTTCTGTACAGGAGGGCCCCACTTATACAGCAGGTTAGGTTCCAGGCTACTTCTGTGCAGGAGGGCCCCACTTATACAGTAGGTTAGGTTCCAGGCTACTTCTGTGCAGGAGGGCCCCACTTATACAGCAGGTTAGGTTCCAAGCTACTTCTGTGCAGGAGGGCCCCACTTATACAGCAGGTTAGGTTCCAAGCTACTTCTGTGCAGGAGGGCCCCACTTATACAGCAGGTTAGGTTCCAGGCTACTTCTGTGCAGGAGGGCCCAGCTTATACAGCAGGTTAGGTTCCAGGCTACTGTAGGGCCCCACTTATACAGCAGGTTAGGTTCCAGGCTATTTCTGTACAGGAGGGCCCCACTTATACAGCAGGTTAGGTTCCAGGCTACTTCTGTGCAGGAGGGCCCCACTTATACAGTAGGTTAGGTTCCAGGCTACTTCTGTGCAGGAGGGCCCCACTTATACAGCAGGTTAGGTTCCAAGCTACTTCTGTGCAGGAGGGCCCCACTTATACATCAGGTTAGGTTCCAGGCTACTTCTGTGCAGGAGGGCCCAGCTTATACAGCAGGTTAGGTTCCAGGCTACTGCTGCACAGGAGGGCCCCACTTATACAGCAGGTTAGGTTATGGGCTACTGCTGTAGTACAGCAGTAACCTGGAACCTAACCTGTTGTATGAGTGGAGCCTTCCTGTACTCAAAAATCCTGGAAAAAGGAATTAATGTACAATAGGTATGGATTCCATCACACTGGATTACTCCTTCAAGATAAAGTACAAGACAACAAGTAGTACCTGATGAAGGATTCCAGTGCCTTCGTCCGTATGGAATGGTAGTTGGTCTGGCGTTGAGTCTGGTAAGCATTGAGTGTGAGTCCCAGACCATAGTAGAGGTGGCAACGAGCTGCCAGTACGCTGTTCCGCTCCTCTGATGACTTCAGCGCTTTCTCTACCCATTCTAGGCCTTTCTCAATCTGAAGAATAAGTAGCAGTAAAGTCGCAATACGATAGCTGGAGTGATTCACAAACGACCAGAAAATAAGCAGTCACAATACATTAGCTGGAACAATTCATAACCTGGAACAACTCCATACTTGGAACAATTACATAGCAGGAACAATTCCATAATTGGAACAGCTCACAAATGACAAATAACAGATAAAACCAGACAATGTTTGGATAAAAGGAGCTAGTTAATATTTGGAAACATATCATGGCCAGGCTTTCTATCGTCTATAAGTGCCCCAACACATGTAATCCGTTCTGACCTTGCCGAGCTGCTGGAAGCATATCCTGGCCGCTAGGAGGCAGTAGTGAGGCTCCGCAGGTAAGAGGCGGTGAACTTCCTGCAACACTAAGAGTGCGCGCGTGTCTTTACGCCCACAGGCTAGAGCGAGGCCAAACTGCTGCCACACGTGACTCTCTTCATGAGAAAACTTCATTGCTCTTTCAAACACCTGTGGCAAAAACACAAATGTACGTATAAAAGAATGCTTTCTACTGCCACTTTTACTTCCACTACCAGTATTACTTCTAGCACTACTTCCCACCTCCACCCCTCCTTCAGAGTGCAGGCACTGTACTTCCCACCTCCACCCCTCCTTCAGAGTGCAGGCACTGTACTTCCCACCTCCACCCCTCCTTCAGAGTGCAGGCACTGTACTTCCCACCTCCACCCCTCCTTCAGAGTGCAGGCACTGTACTTCCCACCTCCACCCCTCCTTCAGAGTGCAGGCACTGTACTTCCCACCTCCACCCCTCCTTCAGAGTGCAGCCACTGTACTTCCCACCTCCACCCCTCCTTCAGAGTGCAGCCACTGTACCTCCCACCTCCACCCCTCCTTCAGAGTGCAGCCACTGTACTTCCCACCTCCACCCCTCCTTCAGAGTGCAGGCACTGTACTTCCCACCTCCACCCCTCCTTCAGAGTGCAGGCACTGTACTCTCAGTAGTAGTAACCAGTTACCAGTCTCAGTAGTAACCAGTTACCAGTAACCGTCCGTTGACTCAAACGACCAACCGTCTTGAGTCACGGTCTCTATATTGTGCTGAGCTGACACTATTTCAAAACACCCACTACGGGGTACTGGCCAGCCGCCTAGTCAGTTTTACGAGTGTAGCCAAGGAGATAGGTACGGCTGCGGGCTCTGTCCACATATCAGTAATTATACGTATAACAGCCTACGTGAGTATTTCTACCCTAATCCACGTATCGTACTCCCACATGATAAATGGTGTACAGCGGTGTGGAGCGTGGATTTACGTTTTTAAGGGTAATTCAAGGCGTTTGAAGACTGTTGTGAGTGGCCGGCAGGGTCAAAGGTGAATGCCCTCCCCTCACACCCTCCAGCCAGCAGCTTATACCCTCACTCACTACCTACTGCCTGCAAGCCTGTTGCAGCCGTTTCAAGCTTCCTGGCTTAGTTCGTGTGCTAATTGCTTCAATCTCCGAGGGGTTGACCCGGATTTTGCAATTAAGCCAGTCAGTAAGCCAGACTGTGGAAGTGAACGCCAGTCAGCCTATCATCCAGCCTGTCTCCTGTCATCCAACTGCTCCTCCGTGCTTTGTGCATCGTTACACGTCTTCCAGTCATCCATTCTCGTGGGGTAAGCCAGCAATGGGTTAGCGGAAAGAACCAATAAGAAAGTACTTGATGTTTTGAGAGCCACTATCAATCCCAACAGTGAAACTTGGGATGAAGTTATATCTGATGTGCAGTGTGCTATAAATTCTGCTTACAATGTTTCTATAGGTGACACTCCACATTATGCATTGTACGGTGTAGATAAACGTTTGCCTTATGAGTTGTTATATTCTAATCCGAAACCAAATTATAACCCTGATGATTTCGTAGCAACTCGTACCAGCTTAGCTCAAAGTGTTTTTAGAAGAATCCGTGAAACACTTCATAAATCAACAGCTGAATTTACAAGAGTCGCAAATACCCGAGTAAAGCCATCCAAAATCAAAGTAGGTTCGAGAGTTATGCTGACTAATTTTAACAAAACGTCTGCAATGCCAAAGCTTGATCAAAGGTTTGTTGGTCCTTATCGAGTAGTTGAACATATCACTGGAAATAAGTATAAGGTTAGAGAGATTAGTACTGGTCAGTATAAAGAATCGCATTTGGATCATATGAAGTTAGTATGTGATGATAATGATGTTCCAACCCAGACTAATGTGACAGACTCTGAATATCCTCCTGATCCTGTACTCTCTTCCTCTGATACTCAGTCAGAAGATCAACCTGAATGTCGTTATTCCCTACGTACACGACAGGTATTGAGAAATCCTCAAGTATCATTTGTAACTTCCAATTCAGATTTGCCTCAAATACAGCATGAGTTAGCCAATGCTACAGAATTTGATCCTCCCAGAGAGGACACCCATTCTGCATATGTCAATCACACCCTAGCAGAGTTGGGGTTAAATGTAAATAACCTGTATAGATGAATAATTACAGTATCAACTTATCAGTATTCAAGAATTTTTTTTTTTGTGTTCATGTTCTCTCCGCATTCTGAGAGTTAACAGTCTAGATTTGCGTGCACCGAATCTGCCTTTCTGTTAAACACTCTTTCTTTGTATATATTCCTTCCTCAGAATCCGTAGATCACATGAATACAGATCGATCGATCAAAATTTTTGTTTTTTATCACTTGTAATCTCAATGTTGAGTTCGTTGTTCATTTGTTGAGTTTTAAGTTGTACTATAGTATACCTTGTATTACATTACAGTTTCAGTTACGTAAGCTTTCATTCCAATGTTCTACTTATGTATCTATAATGTTTCATGTTGTGTACTTTGACATTGTATAGAATCAGCCCAAGCCGTATACCTGCCATCTCTAGTTTGTATTAGTTGTATGTCGGGACGACATACGTTAGCGTCGCCGAGCTCTCAGTAGTAGTAACCAGTTACCAGTCTCAGTAGTAACCAGTTACCAGTAACCGTCCGTTGACTCAAACGACCAACCGTCTTGAGTCACGGTCTCTATATTGTGCTGAGCTGACACTATTTCAAAACACCCACTACGGGGTACTGGCCAGCCGCCTAGTCAGTTTTACGAGTGTAGCCAAGGAGATAGGTACGGCTGCGGGCTCTGTCCACATATCAGTAATTATACGTATAACAGCCTACGTGAGTATTTCTACCCTAATCCACGTATCGTACTCCCACATGATAGTACTTCCCACCTCCACCCCTCCTTCAGAGTGCAGGCACTGTACTTCCCACCTCCACCCCTCCTTCAGAGTGCAGCCACTGTACTTCCCACCTCCACCCCTCCTTCAGAGTGCAGCCACTGTACTTCCCACCTCCACCCCTCCTTCAGAGTGCGGGCACTGTACTTCCCACCTCCACCCCTCCTTCAGAGTGCGGGCACTGTACTTCCCACCTCCACCCCTCCTTCAGAGTGCAGGCACTGTACTTCCCACCTCCACCCCTCCTTCAGTGTGCAGGCACTGTACTTCCCACCTCCACCCCTCCTTCAGAGTGCAGGCACTGTACTTCCTGCCACCACCCCTCCTTCAGAGTGCAGGCATTGTACTTCCCACCACCACCCCTCCTTCAGAGTGCAGGCACTGTACTTCCCGCCACCGCCCCTCCTTCAGAGTGCAGGCACTGTACTTCCCACCTCCACCCCTCCTTCAGAGTGCAGGCACTGTAATTCCCACCACCACCCCTCCTTCAGAGTGCAGGCACTGTACTTCCCGCCACCACCCCTCCTTCAGAGTGCAGGCACTGTACTTCCCACCTCCACCCCTCCTTCAGAGTGCAGGCACTGTACTTCCCACCACCGCCCCTCCTTCAGAGTGCAGGCACTGTACTTCCCGCCACCGCCCCTCCTTCAGAGTGCAGGCACTGTACTTCCCACCTCCACCCCTCCTTCAGAGTGCAGGCACTGTACTTCCCACCACCACCCCTCCTTCAGAGTGCAGGCACTGTACTTCCCACCTCCACCCCTCCTTCAGAGTGCAGGCACTGTACTTCCCACCTCCACCCCTCCTTCAGAGTGCAGGCACTGTACTTCCCACCTCCACCCCTCCTTCAGAGTGCAGGCACTGTACTTCCCACCACCACCCCTCCTTCAGAGTGCAGGCACTGTACTTCCCACCTCCAGGACTCAAGTACTGCTAAATAAAAATGAAACACACACACACACACACTTACCTCAATTAAAATTTTAAACTGTTTTCTCCTGGCCAGCGCTATACACAGAAGATCATAAACTGCAGTAGCATTGTCGTAAGCATGAACCCGAGCATTTTTGAACTCTGGCGACTGGCTCAGCACAGCTTCCCTCACTGCCATAGCCTCACTGCAGAAAACAAAAGATAAATACACTATGTTAGCAATGGGACAACAACAAAAATTTTCTGCCAATATTAAACAAAGTGAAAATAATTAAGGTTATGAGGGTATCAAATGAGTTAGGTAAAGAAAAAACTGGATATAACATTGGAGGGAGGGAGTACGGAAGAAGTGAATGTGTTGAGATATTTGGGAAATGACCTGTCAGCAGATGGGTTTATGAAGGATGAGGTAAACCATAGAATTGATGAAGAAAAAAGGGTGGGAGGTGCATTTAGGTATCTATGGAGACAAAAAACGTTATCCATGGAGGTGTGAAGCATGGGTTGTGAATGCTGCAGGGAGGAGAAGGCTGGAGGCAGTGGAGATGTCATGTCTAAGGGCAATGTGTGGTGTAAATATTATGCAGAGAATTTGTAGTGTGAAAATTAGGAGGTGTGGAGTTACAAAAAGTATTATTCAGAGGGCTGAGGAAGGGTTGAGGTGGTTTGGTCATTTACTGAGAATGGAGCAAAATAGTATGACCAGGATGGTGTATACATCTGTAGTGGAGGGGAGGAGGGGTAGGTGTCGTTTTAGGAAAGTATGGATGGAAGGGGTAAAAGAGGTTTTACGTGCAAGAGGCTTGGACATTGGACATGCAGCAGGCACATGTGACCATGTTAGATAGAAGTGAATGGAGATGAATGGTTTTTGGGACCTGACGAGTTATTGGAGTGTGAGCAGGGTAATATTTTGTAAAGGGATTCAGGGAAACCAGTTAGCCAGACCTGAGTACTGGAGGTAGAAGTACAATGCCTGCACTTTAAAAGGAGGGGGTTGGGATACTGACAGTTTGGAGTGACATCTAAACTGTCATATCTGAGTACCTCTGCAAAGACACTGATTATGTGTGAATGATGGTGAAAGAGTTGAATGATGGTGAAAGTGTTTCTTTTTTGGGTCACCTTGCTTCAGTGGGAGATGGCTGGCATGTTATAAAAATAAGTAAATAAAAATAATAATAACAATAATCTTTATTTCCACCAGTACACAATACAACTTATACAGACCATAGCTGACATCAGTGACATATTATATAGAAAGTTCCTGGTTATGTGAAGACACTCCCCACCTGGGGAGTCACCGCAAGAGAGAAGAAGTCACCTTCCAACCGGAGGGCCCCAAGAAAGAAGACAGAAGAAAGGAGGAGACGAACGACACCTCCCACCCGGGGGGCCACCGCCGGATTGCCATCTGGAGAAGACCCAGGCCGGAAGTACCGACAAACCAACATCAATCAATCAACCCTGGTTATTACCTGGAGTTTACCTGGAGAGAGTTCCGGGGGTCAACGCCCCCGCGGCCCGGTCTGTGACCAGGCCTCCTGGTGGATCAGAGCCTGATCAACCAGGCTATTACTGCTGGCTGCACGCAAACCAACGTATGAGCCACAGCCCGGCTGGTCAGGAACCGACTTTAGGTGCTTGTCCCGTGCCAGCTTGAAGACTGCCAGGGGTCTGTTGGTAATCCCCCTTATGTATGCTGGGAGGCAGTTGAACAGTCTCGGGCCCCTGACACTTATTGTATGGTCTCTTAACGTGCTAGTGACACCCCTGCTTTTCATGGGGGGGATGTTGCATCGTCTGCCAAGTCTTTTGCTTTCGTAGTGAGTGATTTTTCGTGTGCAAGTTCGGTACTAGTCCCCCTAGGATTTTCCAGGTGTATATAATCATGTATCTCTCCCACCTGCTTCCAGCGAATACAGGTTTAGGAACCTCAGCGCTCCAGAATTGAGGTGTTTTTTTCTCCGTTATTTCGCGCCGTGAAGGTTCTCTGTACATTTTCTAAGGGCAGCAATTTTTACCCGCCTTGAAAGGTGCTGTTAGTGTGCAGCAATATTCCAGCCTAGACAGAACAAGTGACCCGAAGAGTGTCATCATGGTTTGGCCTCCCTAGTTTTGAAGGGTTTTCATTATCCATCCTGTCATTTTTCTAGCAGATGCAATTGATACAATGTTATGGTCCTTTAAGGTGAGATCCTCCGACATGATCACTCCCAGGTCTTTGACGTTGGTGTTTTTGCTCTATTTTGTGGCCAGAATTTGTTTGTACTCTGATGAAAAATTTAATTTCCTCGTGTTTAACCATATCTGGGTAAATTGAAATTTCTCATCGTTGAACTTCATATTGTTTTCTGCAGCCAATTGAAAGGTTTGGTTGATGTCCGCCTGGAAGCCTTGCAGTGTCTGCAATGGAAGACACTGTCATGCAGATTCGGGTGTCAAACTGCAAAGGAAGACACGGTGCTGTGGCTGACATCCTTGTCTATGTCGGATATGAGGATGAGGAACAAGATGGGAGCGAAATTACTGTGCCTTGTGGAACAGAGCTTTTCACCGTAGCTGCCTCGGACTTTACTCTGTTGACGACTACTCTCTGTGTTCTGTTAGTGAGGAAATTATAGATCCATCGACCGACTTTTCCTGTTATTCCTTTAGCACGCATTTTGTGCGCTATTACGCCATGGTCACACTTGTCGAAGGCTTTTGCAAAGTCTGTATATATTACATCTGCCTTCTTTTTGTCTTCTAGTGCATCTAGGACCTTGTCATAGTGATCCAATAGTTGAGACAGACAGGAGCGACCTGTTCGAAACCCATGTTGCCCTGGGTTGTGTAACTGATGGGTTTCTAGATGGGTGGTGATGTAGAGCATTTCTGGCAAATTAGGTAAATTTTGTCCCCAGGATGCCACCCACATCATTCCACTAACACCCAGGTACCTACTTACTGCTAGGTGAACAGTGACAGCAGGTGTAAGGTAACTAACACCCAGGTACCTACTTACTGATAGGTGATCAGTGATAGGAGGTGTAAGGTAACTAACACCCAGGTACCTACTTACTGCTAGGTGATCAGTGATAGCAGGTGTAAGGTAACTAACACCCAGGTACCTACTTACTGCTAGGTGAACAGTGATAGCAGGTGTAAGGTAACTAACACCCAGGTACCTACTTACTGCTAGGTGATCAGTGATAGCAGGTGTAAGGTAACTAACACCCAGGTACCTACTTACTGCTAGGTGAACAGTGATAGCAGGTGTAAGGTAACTAACACCCAGATACCTACTTACTGCTAGGTGAACACTGACAGCAGATGTAAGGTAACTAACACCCAGGTACCTACTTACTGCTAGGTGAACAGTGATAGCAGGTGTAAGGTAACTAACACCCAGGTACCTACTTACTGCTAGGTGAACACTGACAGCAGATGTAAGGTAACCAACACCCAGGTACCTATTACTGCTAGGTGAACAGTGACAGCAGGTGTAAGGCAACTAACACCCAGGTACCTACTTACTGCTAGGTGAACAGGGGATGCAGGTGTAAGGTAACTAACACCCAGGTAAACCCACTTACTGCTACGTGACAGTGACAACAGAAGTAAGTAACTAACACCCCAAAGGGACCTACTTACTGCTAGGTGAACACTGACAGAGGTGTAAGGTAACTAACACCCAGGTACCTACTTTTCTGCTAGGTGAAAAAGTGATAGCAGGGTTGTAAGGTAACTAACACCCAGGTACCTACTTACTGCTAGGTGAACACTGACAGCAGGTGTAAGGTAACTAACACCCAGGTACCTACTTACTGCTAGGTGAACAGTGACAGCAGGTGTAAGGTTTAAATAACACCCAGGTACCTACTTACTGCTGATGAACAGTGACAGCAGGTGTAAGGTAACTAACACCCAGGTACCTACTTACTGAGGTGAACACTGTAACAGGTGTAAGGTAACTAACACCCCGGGGAACTACTTACTGCTAGGTGAACAGTGACAACAGGTGTAAGGTAACTAACACCCAGGTACCTACTTACTGCTAGGTGAACAGTGACAGCAGGTGTAAGGTAACTAACAACCAGGTACCTACTTACTGCTAGGTGAACAGTGACAGCAGGTGTAAGGTAACTAACACCCAGGTGCCTACTTACTGCTAGGTGAACAGTGACAACAGATGTAAGGTAACTAACACCCAGGTACCTACTTACTGCTAGGTGAACAGTGACAGCAGGTGTAAGGAAACTAACACCCAGGTGCCTACTTACTGCTAGGTGAGAGTGAAGCCCGGTGTAAGGTAACTAACACCCAGGTACCTACTTACTGCTAGGTGAACAGTGACAGCAGGTGTAAGGTAACTAACACCCAGGTGCCTACTTACTGCTAGGTGAACAGTGACAACAGATGTAAGGTAACTAACACCCAGGTACCTACTTACTGCTAGGTGGAACGTGTTTAGCAGGTGTTTAAGGTAACTAACACCCAGGTGCCTACTTACTGCTAGGTGAACAGTGACAACAGATGTAAGGTAACTAACACCAGGTTTCCTACTTACTGCTAGGTGAAGTGACAGCAGGTGTAAGGTAAAATAACACCCAGGTTTCCCACTTACTGCTAGGTGAACACTGACAGCAGGTGTAAGGTAAAATAACACCCAGGGGACCTACTTACTGCTAGGTGAACAGTGACAGCAGGTGTAAGGTAACTAACACCCAGGTACCTACTTACTGCTAGGTGAACAGTGAGAGCAGGTGTAAGGTAACTAAAAACCCAGGTACCTACTTACTGCTAGGTGAAAAATGACAGCAGGTGTAAGATAACTAACACCCAGGGTACCTACTTACTGCTGGTGAACAGTGACAGCAGGTGTAAGGTAACTAAACACCCAGGTACCTACTTACTGCTAGGTGAACAGTGACAGCAGGTGTAAGGTAACTAACACCCCGGTACCTACTTACTGCTAGGTGAACAGTGACAGCAGGTTGTAAGGTAACTAACACCAGGTACCTACTTACTGCTAGGTGAACAGTGACAGCAGGTGTAAGGTAACTAACACCCAGGTACCACTTACTGCTAGGTTGAACACTGACGCGGGTGTAAGGTAACTAAACACCCAGGTACCCACTTACTGGGAGGTGAACAGTGACAGCAGGTGTAAGGTAACTAACACCCAGGTACCTAAATTACT